TGGTGTATTGAATTTAAGTTTGGTTAAGAAGAGTATAATTATTTCACTAGTTTAAAACAGGCATTGAGGTGGGGAGATGTGACATGTACCAGAATGCCTAATAAGAGAGCCCCCACGCGTCTCATTTCCATGTGAAACAAATAAGCTTATGTGATGCGCAGAAAATGACCATTAATGTAAGTTGATGAGTGGATTCCTTCTATCAATTATACTCAAGCAATCTGCTCATATACTTTTTATTTTATTTTTAATCAGCTCGAACTTCAAATTTTATGAAAATTTCGCACGGGACATAAATGGAGCTATGTACGTACAACGGTACAAGCTTGTACCTTTTTTTTTTACATATGTATTTTATCTTAGGCGTGCAAAATCATTATTCCAACTAATTTCATCGAATTCAAAATTTGGATAAATTCTTTGTCTTTATAGATAAATTTGCTTGTTTGTTTGTCAATTCATTTTACATTTTAACTCATTTTACCTCTTAAATATAAAATCCAATGGAAAAGAAAGTATCATCCAAATAACTTTCTGATTTATATTTTAAATTCCAACTTGAAACACTTTTTGTTAGTGTAATGACCATTTTTGAAAAAAAAGTAGTTCAGTGACGAAATCTAATAAATGAAAATCTTAGAGTGACAAATTTGTCAGGTTTCCGTTGTTTAGTGATTGTTTTTGGAAAAATTATTTTTTAAAGTGACTATAATTGACAGTATTTAATTGTTTAGTGATGATTCGTACTTAATATTTCAAAATGTAGTTCAAAATATTCCCTCTGTCCCAAAATTATTGTCCAGTTTGAGATTTTACTTTTAGTACAATTTGAACTAGAAATAAAAATCCAAACTGGATAAGAATTATGGGACGGAGGGAGTATTTTTTTCAAAACTAACATCCAAACAACTTTTTGCTCAAAATACCATCCAAACAATATTTTCATTTCTCATTTAAATTTTCAACTTGAAACATTTTCCACTTTTAAGTGGCAAAATGAAATGTAAGATGACGTCCAAACAAGCACAAAACTCTCGTGATCATGCGTATATTTTATGATAATTTTATGTATGTTTCTTTTTTCTTTTTCTTTTCTTTTTTTTTTGGTTACGGTATTGACGTGAAATTGTTCTAATATGGATTCAATTCACTTGATGCATGTGGTTGCTCGATCTCAATGTTTCGAGGTCGCTATCTAATTTGTCAAGCACAGCAGCAAGAGTAGGAGGAGGTGGACTATGACTCGGAATTGACTGCAAAAGATTTTACCGATATTTCTTTTGTGATCGGGAATCTCTCAAATTCCCAATATTGAGCAACCAAAACAAAACTTCAGCTGGACGTATTTAGGTTAATTCCATAGAGGGCGGCACGAATGATGATGACACATATACATTAACTAATATGAAAACAATGAGTTTTGTTGAATCAGGACACCATGGATTTCAGCTGTACATGTATGATCAAGAACATTAATCAACGAACATATAGGCTCTGTTTGTTTGGTTTTTCAGATTATTTTAATACTAACTGTCCCATCTCAGCATGTTTTTTTACATTTTTAATTTTTACATTTCCAATACAAAAAACACCTAAAAATACACACTCAAAAAAGAAATAAACATACATACTAAAAGAAATCTTATTCGTGTATTATTTTAGAACGAGAATAATACAAAATCTTTTAGAAAACTCCCTCTAATTTTTGCACGTTTTGCATGAATTTCAAGATGTATACGTACGAACTACCAAACTGGTTTTGATTGCACGTAGGTTTTGAAAGCAATATATATGCATTGTACGTATAGTATGGTACGTAAGATGATCTACACGCGTGCATAATATACGTACGTACGTGAGAATGAAGGAATTTTAGAGGTTCGTATGATCATATCAAATAGTATGGCTTAATACAGGTCTCCATCTTTTATTCATTTTTCATTTTCCCAGTCTAAATTAAGTATCGATTTCATACGAAGCAAATCCTCTTTTTGATGAAACAAGAATGCATGGTTCCGTGACACCGCCTTTTGATTTGATTGCACATGTTTGTTTATCATTCCTCCCCGCTCGTACGTTCCTACCTAGCTGCCTCCTGTCTTAATTAATTGCCAAGCAACAAAATTAATGGAAATCGACAAAACAAGTCTATATGAAGAAATACTCACTTTCAACCATATGAGATCCCGATCTATTCATATCTCATCGGGTATAATGTAAATAAGTATTCCGTCTATCTCGAAACGAAAGTAAAAATAATAACTGAATAATCATATATGTACGATTTCATATTATAATTTCATTGAAAGTTACTGAATCGCTTGAAAATATTAATTAATTATTTTGCCAACAACAATCTTGTCACATTAACCATAACCGAAAATTAGGATGAATATAAATAAAGGCTTTAAAAATGCAAGCCGGCCTATACACATACGTAGATAGTATGTATACCATAGCCATGCAAATATACTTTATTAAATAAATGTGTACTTTAGGCATTGATTAAGGTGTGATGTGATCACTTTTAGGTGGTTTTAAAAAATTATGAAGATCCAAATGGACCAGATATAATTCGTAGAAAATGATGCAAACACGAGACGAGAGAGAATCGATCCCACCATTTAATCTGAGTTTAATTAAAAAAAATAAATAAATGTTAGGGTTTGGTTAGTTTGAGCTGTTTCCAGTCTAAGAATGAACAGCAAAGCAAACAAGTGATGCCATGTGATAATTAAAGATCATCATGATTCATTATCACATATTTATTCTTTCCAAGTACCATGACTAATGAACATAATAGGCGTAAATTAACTCTAAGTTTTATTTTAATTTACACCTTATGATTATGACGAGGAGGAGTATGTACTTGTAGGTAAGAAATTAAACAAATTTTTTTAAGACTATTATTACGGGATAAAGTTTTTTATGAAACAGACTACTTGTCGCTATTAGCCCATCTCTAGAATGTAAAACATTAATATGCTGGTTAGTTTGAGCTGTTTTGAATCTAAGAAAGAACACTCTCTATTCTCTTAATAAATTTTATTTTTTATTTTTTGGGGGAATGGAGGAAGTACCGGCGTCTTGTTAAGTTATAAATTTTTTTGATATTCTTATAAATAATCAGGATAAGCCCTTAGTTCCAATATTGATTGAAATTATATATTCTCTTTATTTCAGAAAGATAATCTATATTGCAGTTTGTAAACTGTCAGGTTAACGGCGTAATAAGCTTGTATATAACGCGAAATTATGTAGCCTCTCTATCTTAAGAAAAATTTATATTTTTTTTTCAGATGGAAACATGGAAAGAATACACATTGATCATCATGTATAAAAATGTTCAAAATAAAAAGAAAAATGAAAATAGTCATAAGAGGAATGGTGAACAAGAAAAATCAGGTGATGAATGAAACACTGAAACCTGATTGGGTGGGCGTGTCAACGAAAATCAAAACTGCAGAGGAGTAGAGAATTGACCGATGCCGGGGCCGACGTGGCTGAGCCTGGACCGGTTATAACTGACATACACACACCCAAAGATAGACACAGCAGATAATTATTATACTATTGGCCGACAACTCGACAAACCCCCCTGTTTATGTGGACACCAAATTCTCCTCTCCCTCCGCCGTCCACGTGTCCCCCCGGCGACGTCTCTGATCAAACTCCCGCCCCCCCTTCGTACGGTCATGTCACGGTCCTATTTCTAGCTAAATTACCAACTTATTTTATTAAGCTAATTAATAAACAATGTCCATTTATTTAGCCCCCCAGTTTGGACCCCACATTGTATTTTGTTACATTGTCTCAGAAAAGGCTTCCCTCTTGTTGTATTTAAATATTGGATATTTTTTTCCCCGACAATTATACTCTCACAAGTGTTAAACCAATGTCGAACTGAATTTTCTATACTTATATTAATAACTAATTCGAGATCTTAGAGATTCTTCTACACCCAACACGAATTTTTCCTCACAATTTGCATATTTGTTTGACCTATTTGAGAATCAAATAATTTTGAAATGTATTTTAGAAGAAAAAGACCTTTTCTTTTTGAAGTAAGTAAACCAACAAGTAACGAACCACTTTTTTTTTTTACTTGTACCAATTTCTACATCATCCAAAATTGACTAGCTCGTGTATTCACCAATGTATAGTTACTAGGATTGTGGGGTTGTTTTAAAGTTTTTCTTTGATATAAAAAGGGGTTTATTTGAGGACTTGTGGTTTGGAACATTAGGAAAGAATTGTGATGTACAAGGGGCTTTAGCTAGTACTAATAGTTAGGAAAAAAAAAATGAAGCGAGAAAATTGTTAACTTCCGTAATCAAATCATTATTCACTTTGAATTTTCATTTTTAATTTAATTTATATTATAAGAAATTTAAATTAAACAATAATTTTAAGCTGAAGGGAATAATAATTATGAAAATATGTTAGATCATATGATTACGAAGTTGGGTATTCTTTAAGCGGGGCGGCGTACTCTCTTGAGTAGACATTAGTAATATTAGTATATTTTGTTCTTGGAGAGCGACCAAATCATCGTAAAAGTCTAATCATGATATATAATTGTTTAAAACTACGTTAGATCTTTGTTTTTGTAAAAAGGAACGAAAAACAACTACATTAGCTCTTTTTTAACACCTTCACTTTGTTTTTCTTTTTCCATAATAACTTTTTTTTAATCAACATTTGAATATAAAATTTTTATATTGGCCGTTCAACCGAAATTCGATGAGAAAATATTATATATACTTGATGCATCTACTTTCTGTGTGCTGCAATTTTATGATCCTACTACAACCGGTATAGTTACGATATTTGTCATTTTAATGTGTTAGGTCACACCAGATAGATTATACAGTCGTTGTATGGAAGAATTTCTTGAACTTGAATATGTCTGTCAAATAAAGATATTTACAAAAATTCCTCAATGTTATATATTAAAGAGACAAAGGGGAAATCTTAAGGGAGAAGAGGGTATGAATGTCATTGACAAATACTTGTAAAAATATTAGAAAAAAATCAAGGGGAGGGCTTAAACGAAAGGAGTGGAAGTAAAGTATTAGTTAAAAGAGTAGATATGCAAAGGATATTTTGTCAGAAAACTACTCTTCTCTCAGTGCATGTGCAGCATCACTAACCCCCCAGCCAGCAGCCATAAGCGCGCGCACAAACACACACACACACACACACACACACAAACAACCTTCCCTTCCAATATCCCAACCAATATCTTCCTTCCCAAGTCGGCAAATGTGAACTCTCTCTCTCTCTTTCTCTTTCTCTCTCTCTTTCTCCCCTTCCCAAATTCCAAACTCCCCCAAAGAACCCAAAATAAAAACCCATTTTCATATTTGTTCCCAGAAATGCAAGATACCCATGCTATCGGAGTAGGCGGTGCAGGCAGATTGTTTGCCGGCGGCAGCGGCGGCGGCGGTGACAGGAGGTTAAGACCCGGTCAACAACACACCGGCCACAACCACCAGCAAGCCCTCAAGTGTCCCCGTTGTGATTCTTTGAACACCAAGTTTTGTTACTACAATAACTACAATCTCTCTCAGCCACGTCACTTCTGTAAGAGTTGCCGGAGGTACTGGACTAAAGGCGGCGTCCTCCGCAACGTCCCCGTCGGAGGCGGTTGCCGGAAAACCAAGCGCACCAAGTCCAAACAGTCAGCGTCGTCGGCTTCGGCTTCGGCGGCGGCAACTTCTTCCGAGGTTCCTCCGGAGCGGAGCTCCAATAATAATTCCCATTCCAGCAGCGAGAGTTCAAGTCTCACCGCCACCACTACGGCGGCGAAGAAAACTCCCCCCTCCGCCGCCGCCGGTTCCTCATCCGAGGTTGCTTCCTCCGCCGGGAATTTACTTAATTTTGGCGACTCGAGGTTTTTCCTCTCCCAGATGGACGGCAACGGAAACAGCTTCGATCAATCCCAGACGTTGATTGATCCCATCGGCTCATCGGAGAGGCAGATTTTCACGGATATGGGGAGCTTCACGAGCCTGATGACGTCATCGAATGATCCGGGTATGTTGAGTTTCAATCCGAATAATAACAGCATGGGCGACATTTCCGGGTTCGGATTGCAACAGCAAGAGCAGGGCAGCTCTGACCCGAACCAGTTAGTAGGAGGCGGCGGTGGTGAATTGAAGATGGAGCAGCAAATTGATTGCGGTGGATACTTAGATCAGGCGGGTCATATTGGGTTCCCCGGGTTGCAGCAGAGCAGACCCGGCAATATCGGGTTATCGGGTTTGGATTGGCAAATTAACGACGGTGGAGGTGTCGGCGGTGATGATGGCGGAGGAGGAGGAGGTGAGCAAGGACTTTTTGACTTCTCCGGGACCGTTGATCAAAATTACTGGGGTCAGAATCAATGGTCTGATCATGATCAATCTCTTAACTTCCCTCCCTTAGTTTAATCATTTTGACTCGGATTATATATATATACTACTATATACGTATAGGTAGCTTCATAGAAGGAAAACCAAAAAATCTGAAAAAGTAACGAAAATCAACCAGAAAAAAATGCCTTGAATTGACTCTCATCTTCTTCTGTAAATCTTTTTTTTTTTTCTTACTACATATATCCTCTTTTAGATTGGCTTTGTGGTGTTTTTTGACTTTTTTTCTTCTTAAGATTGCTGTTGGGGTTGATTCCAAAATTTCCGAGTCTTGTAATTCACATATGACTAACGGGTGATAGGTTTTTGCTCTAATTTCTCGTTAGTGTTATTTTTTTCCATAGAGTTTGATGAACCCCTGCTACCCTGAAATGGGGATTATATCTTAAATATGAAGAATATTTATTGCCTATTGTTGTTCTTTTTGTTCATTTGATTTTTTTTTTCTTCATTTTATTATGTTTTACTTTTGTGTATTGATGTTCATGTGAGCTGCTTTGGTGAATTGGTTTGTTGGGTTCTTATCACTGGCCGCCGGCAGGGCACACACGGCACTGAATCTGTCATCTGTGGGCCGAACAGTTCAGTTAATGCCACTTAGATCACAACTTGCCCTCATGTTTAGGTTGCTTCTCTTGCCGGACTGACATTAACAACTGATCTTTGATATCCTGCAAAGGAGATGTTGCATTCCGCCCGCCATATTTGGTTTTTGCCTGATCATGATTGAAGTTTTCACTACATTTTCAGAGCCTCTTCAGTTCAGTTATCCAATGGTGACTGGTGAGCCTCTTTTATTTGAGTTATCGTGCATTAATTGTAGGTTTTAGATTGTGATAATTGAATGTATGTAACATTCAGTCGACGTTACTAGAGAATTTTTCAGTTCGTCCAATTACAAACTATACTAAATTCATGCTTCAGTGTGACAAAAACGACGAGGTATCATGCGTGTGTCGAGCAATGGTTCAACCAAAAGTAGAAACTTAGTTGGAAATTTGGAATATGCTGTTTTTACCTAGATTATCAGCATAGTTTTAATAGCAAACACACAATGATATTTGTAACCAAAAGTACTAGTAGTACCACTTCATTAATTTCCAACAGTACTAAACAAACTAGGTTGTAGATATTATGAAAATTCATCATCATCTCCATCCATCTTCCATCCTCCTTCATAATCAAAGGTAATTAGGAGGGGGTGGCCACACAGTCACATGTGCATTATCTGCATTATGCTAAAAAAAAAAAAAGAAAGAAAAAAGAGTACTTTGGGTTTGTAGGGATGGGCTGAATTACGGATAGATTGATTTGGAAGTGGAAGTTCCCTGGTGGGTTGGTCATAAGGCCAAATCAAATGGGGCAAGTGGGCAGAGAGTAGTAGGTGGTAACCAGTATATAGTACAGAGGACTACAAAGAAATAGGGGGGCTACTGTGTGACTGTGTGTAAGTGTTACTGAGAGTGTACGGAGTTTTGAAATTGAAAGGTATGGGGAAGCGAAGAAAATCTGAAGTCTGATGAATTGGGGGATGGGTTTGGGGAAAGACATGTGGTCGGTTGGTAAATGGCGGGACCTTTTTTGGCGGGGACTCTAGACAATTACCATGCGCGATTATGATGACTCCACGTGTCCCACTCTTCTTCCGGACAAGATTGCATGTGCCGCCCGGATTTTTATTCTGTGATCATAATGTCTTGCCGGAACTAACTCTCCGGTGCCGGAGATACTCCACCATGATTGTCGACCATCAATGGTGGTCAAAACTCATAAGTGTTGATAAAGGGTGTGGAGAAGAATGGACACTTTCGTTTGTTAGTCCACTGACTGAGACCTATTTTAATATAACTTTTTGATCAGCTACGGCAAAGTGACTAATGATGAGTTATATAACTTGTGTAATAAAATGTCCAGGCCCAAAGCTAGCCTACTAGTGATGGCACTTTGAAAATTATAAATCATGAGACATCTATACTGAAAGTTGAGACTCCAAATTGCTTATTGGAAAGGGTATTGGAACATTTTTATTTCCTTGTTTTCCCTGAAGAAAATATGAATGTTTGTCAAATTTCGTGTTAAGTTAGGGACTGCCTAGATAAAAAAAAATGGCCACTGCTAATAAAACTTGAAAGCCTGAAATCATCTATAGCCTCTTGTTGGTCTTTTTTTTTTTTTTTTGGGTACAAAAATGAAGGAATATGTAACTTCTAAATTATGACATTCTAGACTCTTTTCTAGTTCAGCATGAATGTACAGTACATTCATGCACCTGTATTTTTCCATTCTTATGAAAGATCACCAAATAAGGATTTGATCTTGTTATAGGGAAACATACACATATAAAGGGCCTAAGTCTATTACTTCAGGATATAATTGATTGATTATTATTGGTAACGAAGTGAACATGCCTACAACTACAAGGAGTACGCAACTAAATGGCACAATCTGCCTAAACACGCGTTCGTTGCCATACTACATAGCTCATGTGGAACAGTGGAAGGACACAATGGAGTAAAACAACAATGGAAAACTCATTTGTGCAAGAATTAATGAAAAATTCCACATCGCTGATACTACATTCTGTTTCGTGTAATCAGCACAAGGAAAGTTCAGCGCACTTACGTGTGTAGTTTTGTTGGAGAAACTGTAAGACAAAATCATACGACAGAGTCCAGGGGATAGAAGGTTTGTCTTGTTCGGAATATTTATACATAGATGGCATTAGGGAATTCAATTCGCATGTAAGAAAATTAACCACACTTAGAAGAAGATACATACCAGGTATCCAAGTAGATTAGTAGACACCATGGTCAAGAGTACCCATAATGAAGACTAGGTTCGATTCATTAGGCGTGTACAGGTAAAAATTGATCAAGTAAGGAGCAACCGATTTTAAATAATTCAGTTTTTTTCTTTACGAGTGTTGTGACTATGGCTGCAACATAAGTGAGTTAGCACTAGCAGAGTAGCTCTTAATTGGCATACAAGTATTGTAATTCCTTCGTCCCATAAAAAAAATGCACATTATAAATTGACTTCTTTTGCATGAATTATTATTTTGATAAAATGGAAGGAATATTATATTTGTAGGGCAATATATCATCTATAAAATTGACTTCTTTTTGATATATATTTTTAGAGCGTTTATCCTCGGCCAAGCTACTCGATGCACAGAAGCAATTCATTTTTTTATGCCAGATACCAACTTTTGTATATTGGTTTCAATTATTCGGGTCAAATGAAGATCAACGGGTTAAAAATAATGATGGAAGATTTAAAACTTCGGTTCAAATTGAATTTTTCTAAAGATTTTGGGAGTTAAAGGTCATTCTCCATACTTGCGTGTACAAGATTGCAAAACGGGGGTGAGTTCTTTAAGCGCTTCATATAAGTACCCCTATCAAAAACCCTAGCTACTGTTAAGGTCTCCCAATCGTTTTACTCTCCCTCTGCACGGCGGCAGCTGATCTTTTCTCTATTCTTCTTCCGGTTAGTTTTCCTACTTCAATTTCATTCGTTTGCAAAAATTTTAGCTGTATATGAGCACTGTTATTGCGGAAAATTTACTTCATCTCTGAACAATAACTGGTGAATAAATTGATTCTCAGATCTTTGTATCGGATTTAGTGTTTTCCGATCGGTATATAGGAGTTGAGAATGTATTATGTTTTGGGTTGTCGTTATTCTCTAGATTTATTGACTCTGTAACTTCTGTATTCTTAAGCCGATTCAGTCTTGTTTTTGTGTAGGGGAAATGGGAAATTGGTTAAAATTATGGAAAGAAATTGACTATGTTTTTTTCTTCTACTTGGGATTTGAGTCGCCCGTTGTCGAGTGTGTGTGTGTTCTTTTTCCATATGAAGTCTGAGAAAGAATGGAATAGTGTTTGATATTTTCTGTTGGTTTTCTTGCAGAAAGATCTTACATAAAACCCTTGTCAATGGCTGTAGCGTTTCACAACCTTACCTCGGCTGCTGGCCTTAAGAAGCTTGATGAGTACCTTCTGAGCCGTAGTTACATTACTGGGTGAGTGCGCGAGTACTGAGTAGTATATGTTAATGTTTCCTATTCCTGATTTTTTCATAGTGATCTCTTTGATTTGTTATTTCTGACCTCTGTTTTTTTTTTTTAAACCCCAGTTACCAGGCCTCTAAGGATGATCTCACTGTCTATGCAGCTCTTGCAAAACCCCCATCATCTGAGTATGTTAATGTGTCTCGGTGGTTCAACCACATCACTGCACTTTTGAGAATCTCGTAAGTATTACACAGATTATATTTTTTCATTTATGTATGTTCTGGACTTACTGAATCAATAATGGCTCTTGTGAATACCAAGCTATTATTAATCTTTTTTTGTTTTGCAGTGGTGTATCTGAGGAAGGTTCTGGTGTCACTATTGAAGGTTTTGCCCCAGCCACAGAGGAAGCTGTTGCTACTCCTCCAGCTGCTGATGCTAAGGTATTTCATGTCCAATTTTAACCTGGTGGTTTTGTATTTAAGTCATAGTCATTCCATTTTTTTGTTTTCATGTTTATGAATGAATTACTGTAATGAAAAAACAAATTGTTTCAGAACCGTAAACTGTCTTCAAAACCCCTTTTTTAAGTTTGGCCGAAGCCAAGAATACTTATCCATTTAATGGAATTCTGTGTACAGGCTCCACCCGCCGAGGATGATGATGACGATGATGTGGATCTCTTTGGTGAAGAGACTGAAGAGGAGAAGAAAGCTGCTGAAGAACGTGCTGCAGCCATGAAGGCATCTGGCAAAAAGAAAGAATGTAAGTGTCACTTTTAAGATTTAGAGATTCTAGTTTGTTTGAGGGTTATAATGTTTATTGAGTAGAAATTTTTCCTTCTGTTCTGAGTTATATGGTTTACTTATTCTCTGTTGGTTATATTTCAGCTGGGAAGTCCTCAGTTCTGCTTGATGTCAAGCCTTGGGATGATGAGACTGATATGAAAAAGCTTGAGGAAGCTGTGCGAAGTGTTGAAATGGAAGGATTGCTTTGGGGAGCTTGTATGTCCTTTCTATCTGAACTTTTTGATTTCTCTGTTGTATTAATAAAAGGCATGGATATCTCGTTGGATTCCCCCTCATGGCCGCCATCCTTGTTTGATTTCGAATTTAAATTCCCTTTGTTTTCCCGTTTACTAATCTATTCGTTTTTTATGTGTAGCTAAATTGGTTGCAGTTGGATATGGTATCAAGAAATTGCAGATCATGCTCACCATTGTGGATGACTTGGTTTCTGTTGACGATCTTATTGAGACCTATTTGACTGCTGAGCCTCGTGACGAGTTTATCCAAAGTTGTGATATTGTTGCTTTCAACAAGATATGTAAGTGTCGTTGATGAACTTCCACCTTATTTCTATCAGTTTTATGAATTCTCTTGCCTATTTATATTGTATGTGAAATGCATTTTCGGTGTTGATCTGACGACTCTGGCATATTCTTGTTATAACAGAACTCCGTATCAAACTTGCTGTTGCTGTTCTCCAATTCTGCACGGTTCTGCTGGGATGCAAGTTTCCGTTTTTTGTTACTAGAGCTTTGCTTGTTTTCATTTTCCAAATTATGTCTTGACATTGTAACTTTTTGATAAGCCTATTGTGACTCGTTAGAAATCAATCAAGAAGTATTTGCGTATTTGACTTGTGATCAAAATCATTTTTGGGTTTATGATAACTTGGAACTGAAATTATACTTTTGTGATGGTGTTGAACTGGTGGTAGTTGTCAAGGTTACTGCCGAAAATTATTTTTAGATTTCAAAATCTACTTGAAGTTGTACTGATGTTCAGCTCGTGTTAGCCCTTGTTATTATTGCCCATTAGTGTATGGAAACTCTCCAAACTTTAAAGGAACGTTTAACAAAAATTTAAAAGTAGAAACGAATCGTGTTCGGATTAAACTCTTCCTATTCTTGTTTGTATAACAGAATGAATGCCATTGAAGATTAACTACGGTATATAGCACAAATATGCATTCACAGACAAGTATTTTCAACTTTGTGAAGGTAGTAAATGTCTCTGCTAAGGGCGTAGTGAATTGAGCAATTGTTTGCTAAGAGTAAAGATTTACAACACTTGAGAGCCGGTAAAACACCCCCAACATGTGCTTTTCTTTGGTCTTCTGTGTTTCCGTCTGTCAATTTCTGTCAGTCTTATGGGGCTTCCATTCCATTCTGATGCTAATCTGCTCAAAAAATATGACGGACAAACAACATTAATTCGATACACGACAGCTTTAGATCTATAAAATGATTTCTGCAGATATTTTACGTGTTGTTATGCATGGTTAGAACTGTGGAAGATTGAGCTAGTAGACTCACATGGGAAAAGCAAAAGATGTAGTGCTGGTTGTGCTATTCGAGCGTAGCGAGATGTTATCGCAAAATTGCAATGAGCCTGAGAATGTCAACCGACCGGAAGAAGTGCTTGCTGCAGAAAAACTAGAGCTTCCAATATCTGCTGTCCCAGAAGTGGCTTGATGTGATATTGATGATGACAAGAAAGGTTGCTTCATCATGTCAGCCCCGTTTTCAGCTTCAGGTGATTCTTCAGCTGTTGATATATTTCTGCTTTTGTCATCGTCGTTCCCGAGACTTTCACCCACTGAGCCCGTCTTCCATGTTGAATCAACTGCATTGCTGACTTCAGGTTTGATCCCCTTGTGGCCTGAAAATGGCGAATCTGCCCCAAAAGCTTCTCTAATTTTGTCCTGAAAAGCAATTGCACGGAAATCCTGTTCATTATAGCACATTAGCTAGCAGATCATGAAGACTATATACAGATGAGATAGGTACCTGAGGATCTTGTTGTCCATTTCGTCTGCGTTCTTGATCCTTAGCAGCACTAAGCAACTGGAAAAGAGAGAGAGTGGTGATGCGATCACTAGTATCATCAAAATTCTGGCTTTTCGCTGCTTCCGTCATCGAGGAAAAAGCATGACCGATTTCAGCGCTGCCACCAAAAGAATCCATCAAAATATTCCGAGCACCAGCACTATCATCTTTAAGGCAGAGAAGATGATGACCAGAGAAAGATTCTTCCACCCCAGTTGAAATACTATATAAACATTACTTCCTGATCAGGAACATCTGTAGTCTTGTACAGCTCATGTGTTCAGCAAGCTGGATATAGTATTATTGTAGTCCAACTCATAATTTTCCACACACCATTTGACATGACAAGGAATTCCCTACCTTGAACACCTTTATCTTCAAAGTTCAAACCACTGATAATGGTCTCTTTCTTTAAAGAAAACTACACTTCCAGGATTCCACTCTCAATATAACTTCAATTTTCCATCAACATGATCTCTTCTTAGTTCTTATAGTTATCCAAAAGCTTGTAATAACCTGAAATGCGACATGAAAAAGTAGTAACATGGATGAGAAGGGTAAAGATAACTTTGAGACAGGCAGACAGCTCACTCTTTGGAAATTTTGATTGCTTTGAAAAAAAGTTGGTGAGGCTTCACAGCTAATCCAGAAATGCAACCTCAAGAAGTCATGATTAGAACACGGTTTTGATTGAAGCTAGAAAATTGACAAATATTGCCTAACTGTTTTCTGGAACCATCAATGTGTAAGGAAGACTAAAAAAGAGTGTCAGATTTCAAACATGCCAACAACTTTCCTACTTCTTTGAAGTCAGTGACCCCTAGTCAGTGACCCAGAAAATCAGATTGCTCAGTACTGCCTAACTAGAAAAAGAAACAACCATTTTAGGACTGAACAAAATTGACTGCCAAAGACAAAAGGTCATTCCCAATAGAAGTAGTTCCCTCTTCAATCCTAACAACTTGCAAAAGGTTAACTAGAAGATAGTCGGTTGCGAATGCGATCTGATAAGTTATTTGTTAAGCAGATTCTGCAGATGAACACGTAAAGCACTGATCTTTGCAAAAGTATGATTACAACCATATACCACCATTTGGAATGTACTTGAAATGAAACAAAATCAGACAAATTTTGAGTAGATACCCAAGAACCTTACTTGATTATGATAAGAAGCCAATGACTGATTCAGCCAGATTTCCAACACCTTCTTTTTCTACATAAAGCACCAACATAAGTAACTGTATATAAGTCTATAAAGCCTCAAAACTGAAGAGCTTTTTATAGGTATATATATATATGCGGTAGCACCAATTGGCAACACAAAGAGTGGCACTCAAAACTTTTTGCTACTAAACAAAAGTGGAATTTCACTATTTTCCGATCTCTAAATGTCAAAGAAAAGGTGAGGAATCACTCGAGTAGTAGAAGTTGATGCCATATATGAAAATTTGACAATATGAAAAAGCAATGCGAGCGAATAGAATGCAAAAGCCACAAAAGTTAGCTTAGATTATTTAAAGGTTTGGTCATCTAAAACTTTTCAAAGGCAAAATAAAAACATTCAAAGAAGAAATTAATGGGACAACCCAGAAGCCAAAAAGGACAAATTGGGTGGACTGGAACACCTAACTTTAATCAAATGTTAATGTATATAGTTATGAAATTTTGAGCTTTCAACATTTTCACATAAACAGGAAACGGAAATAAACATATTACAACAAAAGGGTTCCTTTCAGATGAATGATGATCATATCTTAATACTTTCAAGTTACCAAAGATTCTAAAAAGGGCATTGCTAACATCAATTGTATTAGAATTGAATTGTTGTTGGATTTATAAAGTCATAAAACCACGATTAATTAGTAGTAGCTTGAGAATGTGAATAGACAAATGATAAAAGCGTCTTTTTCTTTTAACTTCTTGTAATTTATAGCCAATAATCACCCTTGCCAACTGCTCCAAGAAATGTATGAAAAAGTGGTTAGTAACATACTGAAAGAACAGCAACAATGTAGGTAGGGTAAATGATCAAATGCCCAATTTAGTTATTAAAATTGGAAATGGGCCAAACCGGCAACTAAAAATAGTGAAAGGAACTCATCCATTCTTAATTAAGTATTAGGTATTCGAATATCATATGGAGTATGAAGAATTCTTAAGTTCTCGAACAAAGTCTTCCGTTCGTCGATACATTACAATCCTACTTATCGTTTGATTGCTTTTGCCAATTTAGAAATTAGTTACTCCCTCCGTCTCATAATTATTGTCCAGTTTTACAAAAATGAAAGATTTTATTTTTAGTCAAACTTAACTATATTTTACTTTAAACAACCGAATATACCCCTACATAAGTAATTGTTTAACCACTAAGATTTTATGGATAATATTTTTTACTAAGGACAAATGTGTAACTTGATCCATAAAAAGTCAAATTGGACAATAATTTTGGGACAAAATTTTTTGGGCAAAGTGAACAATAATTATGGGACGGAGGGAGTATTAGTATTAATTGTGAATATCTTACTATATATATTAAAAAAAACAAAAAAAAAACCCAAATCGCCAACTTTCAACACTCACAATTCAATAAATATTTCAAGAATAGAAATTAAAGCAAATACGAGTCATAATGGTGTAGACCTTATTTCAGTAAGCATGGCCAATTGGCCATTTCGAAGAGTGATCACCTATCTTGTCTTGCATCTATTCATTTCCTTAAGAAGGTTATAGAACAACCAACCGTTTTAGTTGAATTAACAATTTTAAGCATATTGTATTGTCGTTTCAAATGACTAGTTCTATCTTCTTCTTTGCGGAAACTTGGAAAATAGTACTACTATAAGATTGAGTGATTAATTACATTAGTCTTTTAATAGTTAGACATTTGCTCGTTTGTGTTTTATAAGCAACTAGTATGTAACCCGTGCGTTGCACGGCGGGTATTAAGATATTATTATATAATGTGTGTAAAATAATATTAATTGTACATGTCACAATTAAGTATAAAAATCGAATCACTTTTTATTGTGAAATTATCGCGATTGCAACTGGTCATACCTCTTATCTATTGTCATTGCAAAACATGCGATGAATGGAATTGCCTTCGTATAAGAGGATTGGGGATTGCTTTCGCTTAAAAAGAAGAACCGACGAACCTTATTTTGTGTTTATTTTTATCTTTTTATTTTTATTTTGGTGACAGTCCATTGAACCAAAAAATGAAAAAGAAAAAAAGAAACCAAGCATTTGCTTATTTTTTTTAAAGAAAAATTCTTTAAAAGTGTTACATATCTCTGAAAGGTCTGTCTTTTAGGGGATCTCATTCCATCTTCATTTTAATCTTTAAAAGTATGTCACTTTATATTGTTCTGCATAAAAAAAAATTTCAAGTCTCGGGTAAGTTAAAAACCAGCAATGGTTTTGGCTGCAATTTTAGTTTTTTTAACAATCTGTTGAACAAAAAAATTAAAAAACGAATAAGAAACGGCGAAACTCATTCCATCCTCATTTTCTTCTTTTCATCTTCATTTTTGATAATCTGTTAAAAAAAAGAACGACCGAATCATTATTTACTTGTCCAAAGAAAAATTATTCCAAAGTGTTATCTATTTACTTGTCAAAAGACATTTTCAGGTCTTCGACTCGCGGGGAAGGGGGGGAGTGCATTTCAAACCTATTAAACACGATCAATATTAATCACCCCAAAATTTCAAATATTCTGAAATAAACTCATGCCTCGTTTTTTTAATCTATTTATCTACCGTTAAAAAAATAAAAATTAGAAAGCAACTAGATTTGATAGTGTAGAATAAATATCTGATCTGTGACAGTCCATTATTGGGATTCTAAGAGTTTAAGGGAATTTTAGTTGCTATTTTAGTACTTTTTGACAGCCTGTTGAACAAAAAAAAAAAAAAAAACCGGCAGATCTCATTCTGTCTTCATTTTTATCTTTCTATCTATGTTTTCGACCACACATTGAACACAAAAAAAAAAAATAAAAATAAAATTGAAACACTACTTGTCCAAATTGTTTTCGAAAAGTATTATCTACTTAAAAAAGGGCCGTCCTTGAATTTTCAGATCTTATTCTAGCTTAATTTTCATCTTTAACAACATGTCATTTTGTATCGTCCTACTTAAAAGATTTCGAGTTTTTGGAAGTAAGATAGTTTTGCTGTATTTAATTATTTTTTGACAACCCGTTGAACAAAATAATAATAATAATAATAATAATAAGAAGAAGAAGAAGAAGAAGAAGAAGAAGAAGAAGAAGAAGCGGCAAATCTCATTCCGTCTTCATTTTCATCTTCCATTTTGTTAACAACCCGTTGAACCCCCCTCCCCCTCCCCCAAAAAAAAGAATCAAACATTAGTTACTTGTCCGAAGAGAAATTCTTCAAAAGTGTTATCTAATTATGAAAGAATCGTCTTTCGGCGGGTCTCATTCCATCTTTATTTTATCTTTAGCAGTACGTGACTCTTTATTGTTTTGGTTAAAAGATTCTGATTGTTTGGTAGGTTGAAAACAAATAATGGTTTTGGTGCAGTTTTAATATTTTTTTGACAATCTCTGTTGAACCACAAAAAAAAAGGAATACGAACTGGAAGATCTCATTCCATCTTCATTTTCACCTTTTCATCTTCGTTTTCGACAGCTTGTTGAACCAAAAAAAAAAAATTTAATAATGACCAATAATTTTTTACTTATTTTTTTCGAAGAGAAATTCTTCAGAAGTGTTATTTAATTTCTTATCCAAAGAGATTTCAAGGTCTTGGACACGGTAGACATATGCGTTTAGATAATAATTTTTGAATTTCATTTTGTTTTTATCACCATATACAAAAGAAAACAAAACTCGTTTCTTGATCTAAACCCGTCAAATACCATCACCACAAATCACCCCCAAAATTTCAAATATTATCTTGTAAACTCATGTAACATAAATAAACTTATATCGCGTTTATCCATCTCTTTTGTTTGCGGTTTACAAAAATAAAAATTAGGAATAAAATCAAATTTGAATATGTAAATAAATATCTAATTTTTGACAACCCATTATTGGGATATTTAAAGGAATATTGATAAAAAGGTGTAATGTAGTCTCTTCCTCATTAAGATATTTTTCGCAAACCTT